TGATGGCAGCGGTAAGGCGGCAGCGGTAGGGCAGCAGCCGTAGGGCAGCAACTGTAGGGCCGGCTGTTAGGGTTGTCTTGTGATGGGGCTGCTGTGGTAGGGCAGCAGCTGTAGGGCCGGCTCTGTTAGGGTTGCCTTGTGATGGCAGCAGTAGGGCGGCAGCGGTGGGGCGGCAGCGGTGGGCAGCCGTAGGGCGTTTAGGGCCGGCTCTGATACCAAGATAAACTTGGTAATTATGTATATATATATCGATTACAATCAGGGATATATATAAGAGATACATTTACACTCTAGACCCTCTAATATAATTATATATATATATATCACACTTAATTGTCTAATAGTATATGAGTTTCAGTTTTGACACAAAGATACAACAAGTATGCAGTCAGTGTTGAGGACCAACATATTAACGATTACTAAAAAAAATCACCCATGGTGTTGCGGAATGATCCAATATTGTGAAAATATTGCATAAAGCTAATCAACCGTGATGAACTAGTTGAGACTCCACTAGCGTATTATCATGAGCCACCCAGATTGGAGGTTGCTTTTTACTCAAATAATGTGCTAAAAAACACTAAGCAAACATGAAGCTACTTACCTTTTTTATTTCAGGTAATGGCAGTCCCCATCAATCAACACTACGCTCCATTGTCCACAATACTCTTATCATGCAACCCTCGCAAAAATGGGTTGGATTATTGGCACTGAGCAGTTCATCTACCTTCATACTTACCATTCCAGCAACGCCAAAGTTACATAATTTTTACTTACCTCATGACTTTTATGCCTGTAGAGTGACGGGTCACTTAGAATCAAACCGTTGATCTCTTGCATGCAAGAGTCCCCACTTTTTTAAAGAAAACTTTCAGAAAAATGAACTCACTATCAGAATCCCATAATGATTGTCACCATGGAGGAACCAAATGATGGCAGGCACGCATTTCATTTGTTTATTGCAGATTAAAGTACAACTCTAAACTTCAATGCATCATTCATCATCAAGATGGGAGAGGCGAGCACCAAGTTCAAGTTTGGCACTAAGAGGCGCATAAAGATGTCTGTATCAGAACACCAAAAACGGATACTGGGAATTAAGCAAAAAAAGGTAACAGAGCTAGTATTTTGTTGAAAACTTGTAGTTAGCTCATCATCATATTTGCGAAAAAAACATAAAGAGCATTACGACCCCATTAAAACCAATTTTAAACCATCTTGGACAGCTGAGCATGAAGAATACAAGACCTCAAATGATGCACCAGTTTTTTTTCTCTGGAGAGGGGGTGTTTTAAGTTATTTTTGATATCATGCATGCAGAGTGTGTTAAAGTAATCCTCATCTACTTGAAGGAACATAACTATTCTTACTTGTTAGTTGTCACTATGCTAATGCAAAAAAAAAAACCTCAACCATGCGTGTAAATATCTGCTATTTTTCTCCACCTGGATGCTATATTATTCAACTATCATGTCCTGCTAACTTATGGTGTAATCTGAACTACAGACAGTTCATTGGAAACTCTAATGGCTATAAACATCAGCTAACAGCAGAAGGAAACCATATTAGATGAAATCTTTTAGGTTTCACATTGCATTATGTCATATTACAGATGCTCTGACACTTGATCAAGTATTCAACACTAGACTTGTACTGTTGATGAGCACTCAAGAAACATGACATAAAGCTTCGATTTACTGTGTTGCTGCCTCAGCATATCTATTCGTTTAAAAAATTGCTTCTACTCTGAACGATGCCACAGTATTCTGTCTGCATTAGTGCATTAGAGATCACAACAAACGAAAACTACTTAAGTTTTATGTACATGTGTAACAACAAGATGATACAGCAAAACAAACAACTTAGCAATCTGTAACTTTATGTCAATAGCAAACAACTCAGCACTATACATCTTTGTATTATCAAGTTCACAAAAGATCAACTTTAAGCATCCAGACAGCTTCTTTCCATGATTCTAACACTCACTTAATATGCACAAGATTCGGAAGGAACGGAGAGCTCAAACTCACCTCCACCCGTACATGTAAAAATCAAAATGAAACAGTATTAGAATCAACCCATTTCCAGTAATGCTTCGTACAGGAAACTGCTCCTTCAGCCTCTTCCTTATCATCAAGAAGTTGCTTCTTTTCATCTTCTATGGTGCAAAAACCAGAATCGGGCAAACCATCAACCATGGCATCTACCGTATGTAAAACATAACAAGCTGGCAGTCCAGGGTATGAAACAGACACCTTCTCCTCCACCTTACTCGAATAAGAATCCGGTATAATTTTCAAAATGTCATCATGAAGACAAGATGCGGTTATAATTGAACCCAGTTCTTCCTTGACTGCTCTGGCAACAGCTTCTTCTACGGTCTCCCCAGGCTTCATTTTCTCGGATAGAGGTCTGGAGCGGTTCCTTACGTCACCGTTCGACAATTCTTGATGTGATTCGATCAAGATTCGATTTTTATCATCCCTAACGCGAACCACGACAACTTGGACCGTACGGAGAGGAGGGGTAGAGTCGGCAAGAGAGGTTTCTCCTTCATAGAGCTCGAGCCATAGGTTATGGATGTTCTTGGTGCCGGGTCTGGTTCCCCAAGCGGCGAATGAATCGGAGGGTAGACGGGGGCGGAGCCAATCGGAGAGGGATTGTGGGGTAGCAAAATGATGGATGGAGGTCTTGGTCAAGGGAATAACGGGGAACCTAGAGAAACGGCGATGATGATTGTAAGTGGAAGTCAGTTTGGGGGAAGAGGCATAGAGGGTGAAGAGAGAGAAGATGAAGTCGGAGAAAGACTTGGGAAGGGTTTTGTGGAGTGATGGTGGAGGCGGCTGCGGTGGCAGAGACATGTGGTGGTATTATAAATTGAAGATGAAGATGAAGATGAAGATAGCCATCAGATGAAGGGGTGATTGTATAAGGATTAGAATAGGCGATTGGTTCACAAACGGTACCCCATCTGCCACCAGAATCACACGTTTTCACGGCCACGGACATGTATGATTCATCCTTATCATCACAGCTTCAAAGTCGTTCGGTACGGGGCAGGGTTGGTTTATTCGGGTCGATGAGATAACCAAGTGGTTCGGGTTTAATTGTTTCTAAAAATATATGCGTTCTCTCTCATAGGGCCGGCCGGCCCATACCATCTTGTTAGTTGTTAACTTCTTATTGAGTTTGAGGGGGATGTTTTGTAATAAAAATAGAATGAATTTTCATTTTTTTTTTCTATTTAATATAGAATAAAATTTTGGGTTTAAGTAGGAATGGACTCATTATCTATACTATCTTATAAACCAAATTTCTTAAGCCTTAAACACAATTGTTTATACATGATGTACAAGTTATTAAAGCTAACCGTTTTATTTGTGAGGGTTTATGCGGCCGCTTCCTCTCAAACGTCTTCCTCGATAGCCGCTTCTCTTCCCCAAGTTGACGATTCAGTATCCAAGACTTTTCTCGCTCCAAGAATGGCAACCCGGCTCCTAATGGCTATTCAATATCCAAGAAATGACTAATTGTAACTTTAGGATCTCACAGCTCACCTCACCTTCAAGTTTCCCATCCATCTCCACGTAAGCTTTCTTCTTTGTTTTCTCTCGAAATGAAGATGGAGCAGCGCAATAACCATTCTCACTTCAATTTCAGGTTACATATTTGTAGTTACAACTCTCAATTTAGTTTAGGTTTTTGGTTTTATTTTGAATTTAGGTTTGATTGTATTTGGTTTTGAATTGATTAGATGACATTTTGGTTTGTATCCGGGTAAGATTTTGAATCCAAGTACGATTTTGGTTTGAATCCAACTGCAAAGCTTTAATTTAGTGGAGCTGGTTCTACTTTTATTCGTGTTCTAGTCTTTATACGTTATTTTTATTTTTATGTTATCTGCTAAAATGGTACAACTTTATGGCTATCTTTTTTTTTTTTTTTGTTTATTTGTAGATGAAGAGATGTCAAAGGGGCTTTTTACTCCCCCAAAAATTAGGATTTAGACTCTTTCTTATTTATCATATTGGTTGATGAAGACTCGTGTTTTTAGGTTGTAAGATTACCAAATCTACTGTCAAGGTATACCTAACACCTCACTTATGTTTCTTATTCTTCTTCTTCTTCCAAGTATGATACTCGAAACTCGAGAGAACCATGCTAACAGAAAGAATTCCTTGTTTACAATTACTCGGGAATATTCAGATTGGTTGAAAATAGTAATAATTCCATTCTTTATTTAATGTTTATTTCAGTTGTCCAAAAGCGAATAAGTTCCCTTGATGCGGTTTTATGTGTTCCTCTTGATTCCATTCTTCATCACTCCAAGAAAATGTATAATTGATTTATACATCTCAAATTTATTGGTAAGGTTTCAAAATGAATTGGTTTACCTTGAACAAATATTGTTTTTTCTTTTACCTTTTTTTGTAATGGATGTTTTTCGTATTTTTTATATTAAAATACGCATAACACATCATAAACTGATACACTATAAAATTGATAACTAAGTAAAAGCTTTTTTGCTTAACTAATTTAAAACCACAAAATCATAAAATAAAATCTTAAGCGAGCTTAGGATACAACATATATAGTACGGAATATAATTGAGGGTCCGAGCTTTTGGCTTAAAAAAATTAGAGAATCACGCCGTATCGCACGGATACACAACTAGAGATTTGGTTACTAATGGTATTGTGGTTTCCTTGGACCATCACTATATTAGATATAGGTTGCTACCTTAATTCGATATTGGAATTATAAAGTGTTCAATAATTCTTCTTGGTATTTTTTATGGATTTGGTTTGTGGTGTTGGATCCTTAAAAGAATTAGTTATTATGTTGATAGATTTGGGACGTTTTATGATATGATATGGATTTTCGAAAATGTTATTGGTCGTTCTATAAGGCTTATTTTGGTTATCCTCCCTGAACATTTCAATTTCATTGGAAGATGTCCTATTTTTAAGAAATGTATAAATATGAGAAATAAGAATTATTGGTATGCTATATTATATAATAAGCGGAGGTTGTTGGACTTGTACAATCTCAAATCAATCACTCTTAAGATAAGTCACGTCCTGCTTTATGTTGAGATCGATAGATAGTTCCATAATATTACATCTCATGCATAATCATATTAGAATTAATCGGTTGTCAAATTTCAATATCAAATAGATTATTGGATTGTTTCAGTTCGTCTCAAATCAATTGAATATGAAACAATCAATAGTATAGGGAACATTTTCTTTCACATTGCTCTAATCTTAATAATTTTTGTTTCATTATGCCTACACTTATTTATTTGAAACAAAACGCACAAAAGGTTTTTGTTTTGAAAACCGCTAAATAATACTTGAAAACTTGATTGTATATGATTTCATGAATATATTTATGCAGAAATTTAGCAACTTATGTTTATATTTCCGAGTAGATATTATATGTGATTTGTTGCTATTAAGGGCATCTACAACCCAACATCAAATCCTATTTCTTACACCTATTTTTATACAATTTCACTCAAAGCAAACTCAATTTTTACAACATTTTGGTGTTGGTGAATGGTGTAACACCAAAATTAGTGTTTAGTATTTTATCATTCATTTATATTAAAGTATTTTTATCACATAATGATCTCTCAAGTTTGGTATTTATGTAAATATATTTTATTTAACTGTAAATAATATTTGATCAAAATGCATGTTAATATTATACGGTAAATTCTATTTATATTAATATATAATACATCATAACACAAAACATATATATATATATATATATATATATATATATATTCGATATTTAATAAGTAAAGAAGTGATCATAGTCTTTCATATGGTCAAGATCGGATTTGATTGATTAATAATTGCGGTTTTAGGTAAAAAAATTGCGATTATGCAAAAAATAGATAGAGCAATTTCGTAACTTTTACAAATAGATGGCAAACGGGTTCAAATATAAACCTATGTGAACTCGTATAATTCACAAATGAACTATTTTAACTTATTCACATATAAATAATTAATAAATTCATATATGAACCTGTGGGTTCATATATGAATAAGTCAAATAATTCACATGTGAACTAATTAACGGGTTCACATATGAACATATAGTTTATATGTGTATCACATGAGTTCACATATGAATCGTTTGCCGCTTATTTGTAAAAGTTAGAAAACTACATATCTATCTTCTGCATACCCATGCGAGGTGTAACACCCCATTTTTTTTTCGCCAAATGAAATATTACATCATCCAGTATACATCATTAATTACTCCAATAATTAAATCAAAATGCTTACATCATAATTAAAGAAATCTTAAGGTAGGGACCTGCCATTTCATAGGCATTCCCTGGACGTATAGGTTCACAAAGAACTAACCGTCCATTTTGGGCCGTGCTTCCGAAGATGTGACATATCGAGTTGATATCCATACCTCGGATAATGTACCATACGCACATGTTACCCCAACCCTAAACCATAGACATGCGATTTATAGTTAATAACCGGAAAACATTTAGTATGCTTGCACCACAAATTGAAACACCATATTCATTCACATTTAAATGATAACATGCAATTAAACACCTCATCAAGTATACATATAACTTTGCACACCATTCATGTAAAAATAATTTGTACATATGTATATATCCCTAGTGAAATCTTGTGAAAGACTCGCCTGAATAGCTCCATTTAACTAAATATCGTCCCTTGAATAATACCCTATAACACATAATTACATTTCATTAATTAGTGTCTTGAATTTTCCCAAAAAGTCATCTCAAAGGTCAAACGGGTCAACCCAAGCATACCTCGTTGTCATGTATCCCCCATGGAATATTTCACGCCCAAAAAAATTACAACATATTAAACCCAATATTTAATTATATACGATTCTTGTTTTAAAACGTCCGATCCCAAAATTATCTAATTACAACTCCCGAGATAAGTTGTTAAATTATTTCTCATAATATAAATGTGAGAACCCAATTAATTAATACCCTTTATAATGATGTCCAAATATTGAACAACTTAATCGAAACATTCTGATTTATTTCCGATTAATCCAAGTAAATATATGAGTTTTAAATCTTTTTAATAAATATCGATTTTATCAAAATGACTCGAGTCTAACCGAACTCGATCGAGACAAGTTGGCCCTGGGCCCAAAACCTGGTCCAGCGCCTCCCGGCCCAACTCGACACCCGACCCAACCCTGTCGCACCCCTGGTGCGGCTATCGTGGACGACCTCTATTTGATATTTTTTCCGACCGTTTTTCACCAAATTTCTTACAAAATCTTATATATAATAACAATCCCAACTCATACCCAATTTTACATTCCCTACGGTCCATTATTAAACTCGTATTTTGAGTTTTTGTACCCGAATCTCGTTGAGCCGTCGCCACAACAACTTCTAGCCCAAAGACGTACAAGCCACCATAGCCCACAAAAATTATATCAATGGAAAGATAATTGAAAAACGAAGACAATCATATATTATATACTAATTTTGGTTGAGTATTTTACTTCCAGCCGTCGTTTTTGTACAAAATGACCCTATGTCGCTCCAAACTCGACATCTCTCTCAGTTTTGATGAAATCCCGAAATTCCAATTGATTTTACTTCCTTGTACCCTTGGGAACGATTCCTCGAAATTTCAGGCCAAAAATTGAATTTATAGGGCATCAAATCGGCTTTGGAATATGAAAAAACGTGATTTGGGAAATTATTTCCCAAATCTCATTCATTTCCGAATAATTTTCTACTTTTGGCATCCCTTTAGTTTTCGCTTCTACATTTTCATCCTAAATCAGTTAAATACAAAATATTTCATTTCCTTTTTTTATTGATTTTATTTATTGCAATAAGATAATATTTTTCGAGTATCGACATTTTAATCATCTTTAAATTTTAACCCTCAACGTTTATTTATTTTAGAAATCATACATTTTAGAGTCTTACACGAGGATTTATCCGATGTTTCACAATTAAAGCCGCAAATGTTGACTAGATGAAGAACTAAGATCTATGAATATATATATATATATATATATATATATATATATATATATATATATATATATATCACCCAACACCTCATGATAGAAATTAATGGGGCCTAGCTAAACCATTAATTAAACATCATATTAGATGTAAACTTTGGTTTAGTAAAAGAAATTGTATAACACATGCATACATATGTGATCATCATTCATAGATCACAAATCAAACTGAAGTGTTAGTTTATTAAGTATTAAATATTTTATCAGGTCAATTATCGTTACCGGGTGAGTTTGAAAATGATCAAAAATCTTACATGATAAGAGGAAAGATAAAAATTGAGAGTCTTATCTGCTAAGTGAGAATGATGATTTTTATATGACTAGTTGTGTACCTGCGCAATGCGCCGGGAGCCATGAATTTTAACGATTTTGAAGTTCCATTGGTTTTATAAGATAAGATTTAACGATGATATAAGTTACACTTGGTCTTTACATATTAATACAATTTGAATAAATAAGAGTTATGGTTCCAATTACAGATTATCGATGAAAAAAATTGTATGACAGTTTAAAATACAATATATTTAAAATTCAACATATTTAGACGACTCCACAAATGTGTTCGATTTACACCAATAGCAAAGAATCAAGAAACTTGAGTTTTAAGATAAACACTCAAAACCAATAAAGAAAACTACAAATTTGACAGATGATAAGCCATGAAAATACCAAAAAAGATGGGTTTTAGAATGAAATTTCAACTGTTTACCCTCTTTCTTGTCCAGAAACTCAGATTAAGGTTGAATTAATACATGTGTATATATTTCAAATAAACTCAAGAACATATTAATTCAGAACATATTATACAGTGCAATTTGGACAGCCCAACCCCAAAATATATAGTATATATATATATAAATAAATAACTATAAAAGTATAAATCGTAAATATTAAAAATATTTTTTTACAGTATATATAATATATAATAATATAATTAAGTAAAAAACTATTCAATATTGGACTCATTTCGAAGGTATTAACGAGACGATTATAATGGTGCAACTTGTTAAAATAAAAATGTATTTTTTAAATATGTTTTAATTGATATACGATTATGTATGTTAGTTTGATAAAGGTTTAAAATGAAACATTTAAAAGTAAATGACGTAAAGTAAATTAATTAATTATAGGGGTATAACGTGTAAATTTAAAATTATAATTTAAAAAAAATCGGTTGTGAGTGTATGTGAAGAGAAGAGAGGGTGAAAAAGTAAGGTAATGTAGTATAAAAGGTATTTTGGTCATTTAATATTTTAAGACTTTTACTAAATTTGCTTAATAAGATAGTATAGATAAACGTTTACTGGATGATAAACGTTTACCATTAATCCATTATGATGATTCATAATATTAGCCAAGAAGAAAAGTAAAGGGTGGTGATTTGTGATAAGAATCCTAAATCTTTATAGGTTTTCAAATCCCTTGTGTTTTCGTGAATCATGTTTAGTTTTGCTTAAAAAACAGATTTGGTAATTAATTAGATATTAAAGTCATGGATGGAAGATTTGGTAATTTATTTGAAGTATATCCAAAGTTTTCAAGAAACGACATGAGGGATGAAAATTAATAATTAGATTGTGTGAATATTTAAGATATGAATACAATTTGGTGGGTTTAGTTGGTGGTTACTTGTGGTGGTGGGGCCATATTTCTCACCGACTCTACTTTATGATTAATGGGTATGGGATGAAACCAAAACACGAGTGGACCCTTCCTTAAGTAGCTATCTACGGAAGAAAAGATGTTTGTATTTATTCATTCATTCAACTCACAAGCAACTGTAACAGTGGTTTTTGTATCAGAAAAAAATAATGACCATATATTTATATTTATATTTATATTTATAGTCATCACAAAAATTATTTGGTAAACTCCATAACCCAGGTGTTGAGTGCACAGCAGGCCTTGCGGAAGCCCTTAAAGCCGGCAGACTTGGCCAATGCCTCGAATTCTTTCTGGGTCCTCTCTTTGCCACCGGGGTTGTGAGCCAACATGATGACGTCGATGTGCACCACGTTTTGTGTCGCAAGGCTCGAGTCAGGAGTCTCTGGAAGAATGCATTCCGCTACTATCACTTTTCCATTCTCAGGGAGTGCTTTATAGCAGTTCTTCAGAAATTTCACGCAGTGTGCATCACTCCAATCATGGCAGATCCACTGAAACCAAACCCAAATTAATCCTATTAATTTTTTCTAATTAATTTACCCCATCTCTCTACATATATACGCTACCTTCATGAAAATGGCATCTCCTTCTGGCACGCTTTTAAACATGTCTCCACCAACATGCTCAATACCTGCATAAACCCAATCCATGTTAAATTAAAATCAAATATTGACAAAAATAAAAATAAAGACAATATATATATATATACCAGGATAAGTGGTTGCATCTTCAATGACGTGTGGCAAATCAAAATTGATACCCTTGATTGAAGGGTGTTTAGAGAGGATCATACTGAGACTGGCACCGGTGCCACCACCAACATCCACAAGGCTGCTCACTCCATTAAAACCATCATACACATCCAAGATCTTCTTCATGGTCATGGTGGAGTGATTAAACATACCGCTGTTGAAAACCTTGTTGAATCTTGGATCCTTCCCATGATACTCAAAAGCACTCATGCCATATGCCTTGTTGAATGGAATTCCACCATCCAACACTGCATCTTTCAGATGATACCTATATATATATATATAAATAGAATCAATCAATAATACTTAGCTAGCAAGGCAAGATATCTAGTAGAGAAGAAATGAAATGAAAATTACCAGCTCTCCATAAGAACCTTATCCTGGTTCATCAGCAAGAGTGGTGCCATGGAAACACCATCTTCGTTCTTTACCAAGAATTTGCAGACGGGAGCAAGACCATAGAGACGCTCAACATCATCACCTACCTTCTTCAGACTACAACTCAGCACAGAATAGCTAGCCAATAAGCGGCAGATCCTGTCCAGCATCACGGCTGCCTCCGGGTTGTCTGCCTTTGGGAGCTGAGCAGCCAGGTCTGCCGGAGACACATAAGCACCGGGGCCGGCTTTGGCAATCGTCTCAAGCAAATCCAAGTCGATGGCAGATTTCAAGACCATGGGTAAGACGGAGGCGCTTGCCAATTGCATCGCAAACAGGAAAGCTTCCTCCTCTTGCTGATTTTGGGAAGCCATTTCAGTTTCAATTTGTAAATCAGTTGTGGTTAAATTCTTGAATATAATGAATGGATGAAATTGGAAAAGAAGGTTGGGTTGAGGAGATAGTGGGCAAGCTTTGTATATATATAGCGGGTGAAGGAATTATAGGTTGGTACACCTTACCAATCACCATGGACCCAAACCACCACTTGTTGCTTTTACCTTTTCATTTACATATTAATTTAAGAGGCATAATTACAAATAGGGGTGCTCAAAAACCTGACGAATCCGATTAATCTAACACAACCCAACACGAAATAACTCAATTCGAAGCAACCCGATGTCTAATCGAGTTGTAAAATTGTCAAACCATAGGTATTAGGTTGATATCGGGTTACTATTATTTGAACCAAACCCAACCCGATGAACCCGATATCCTTTTATTTCTTGGATTTAATATGATTGTTGAATTTATATTAGTACATTAGACAATTATACTATCATGTATGCTATTCGTATACACATATTTTTAATCTATTCACATCTTTATATAACTCATTCATATATATATGTTCAATAACTGTGAACATATATATGTAAATTGAGAAAATTAATTGAATGTGATATACGTAAGAAATATGGATAAGTTGTATCAAATGGTTGATGATGAAAAAAATAATTATGAATAGGGAAATAACATATTATAGGTTAGAAGAATATTTTAATGTACCAAAGTATCAACCCGACTAACCCGACCAACCCGTACGAGTTGGGTTAGGTTGGATTGCACTTTGGTTCGGGTTGGGTTGGGTTAAGATTTTTCAACCGCAAGCATTGGATTGAGTTGTTCAAATGTTTTCAACCCGATCAACCCAACCCGTAAGCACCCCTAATTACAAACATATATAATAAACCTGTTTGAAAATCATTAATTGCTATCTTCTCATATTTGGAAGAAAAGAAAATAAATTAATGATGGAAATAAAAAACGGTTTTTTATTTGTGTCTTCTTACAAAGAAATAACAAATTTTCATGAGACTCATTTTTTCCATATATATATATATATATATATATTCATATTCGTTTTGATCGATGATGTTAAATTGTGAGTGATTTTACTAAGCTATCCAAGAATTATCATTTATTTTCTTTTACATCTTAAAAGAATTATCATTTATTTTCTTTTACCTCTTAAAAGTTTCAAGAGCATATGCTTTTCTTTCTTTATTTTTTTTAGAAGACCATGTAAAAATGCATCCAAAAATAACAAAATAAAAACAAATATGGTAAAACGTAAAGTTTTAGATAATCTTTAACAGATCTTCTATAATTTCTTTAAAATAGAAAACAAAAATACATTTTTTTTATAAAGAATCTTTTTGAAAATCCTTTTAAAATAGAGAACCAAATACACTTTTTTAGAAAATCTTTAACAAATCCTTTGTAATTTCTTTAGTTTAGATATTTCAATATTAATCAAGTTATTATATAATTTTAATTACTATTCAAATCCATCTTTTTTTTTATATATAAAATAACAATAATTCAATCCCATTTATAAGAATAAATAGAAAAATCACCTATCTTCTCACATCAAGTTTAAGAGAATTCTTTAAACTTGGTAGAAAACTTAAAAAATAATGATAAAAAGAAGTTTTATAGTCTCTATTTTAAAGAATCTGTTAAAGATGCTCTTATAAAATAATAAGATAAGATATTTATTTATTTATTAAAAAAACTAATAAGGACATTTTGTGATTGATGTACATTGCAAGTTTATTATCTTGAGGGAAGAAAATTGTTTAAAAAACTTTTAATTTATACTTTTTTCATTAAAAAGCTATGCCATAATATTTAGTATGTAGATAGAAAATTAGAATCAACAATTTATACAAAATATAATAAGCCATAAACCTTCAAATGAAGGAGTGATATGTATTCTTTGTGTTATAAATTCAAAAGGAATTGAGAAGAAAAAAAGTTGGAAATTTATATGATAATGGTGGGCAGGAGATTTCTTCTTTTCCAACCCTGGCATCCGCCTCCAAATGTCTTCTAAAATCATATATGGATGCTATTTTAATATTGTATTTAATGATTTATTTATTTTATGTTTTAATCTTTGAATTAACCATTAAAATATGTTTATAACAATAAAATAAATAGTTTGTATTTTATTATTCTTATTCTTTCATACAATAGTGTATAATGAAACGGATATATTATTTTATTAATATAATACAAAATATGATTTTTAGTATATAAATAGATTTTAGTATCAACTCTTTGTTTGAATGTTTTTCTATTGTGGATTGAAGATGCGTTAGCCAGAGTTCTAGAAGATCATGAATCATACTTTCTAGGGCGCAGAGTCATACGCCGTTATGATCAACACCTAACGAACACACACAAACAAACAAACAAGAAAGTACTTTTTGCGAAATTTTGGAGAATAAATGCTTTGTTAATTACTTTGAGGAACTTTAAAATTTGATCCAAGAAAATGATGTTGTATAGTGAATATATTAGCAAAATGGGTAAACAATTTTGGAAAGAAAAAAAGTTGATCATGTGGTATAATCCATCTAAAAATGGTCATTAATTGATAATTAACCGTTAATTTAGTTTAATTAATTAAGGACATGTCTTGGTTAAGCAAATATGCGTATATAATATATACATAAAAAAAAAAAAAAAATGGGGAATGTTGCTTTGAAAACAAACAAACAAACAAATTGAAAGATGGATGGTACTGTTGGTGGGCTTTCATTTGATTGATTAGGTATGGAGATTATGACCCTTCACTTGGTAATTGGAAATTGGTATTTGGAAATTAGTAATTGGTAATTGGTAATTGGTATTGGTGGGGTTAAACCTTATTACATGTAATGTAAATGATCTGATGACTTTATATTATAAATTAATTATGTGGTATTGTTTCAAACATCACGTAATTATAAAAAAAGTAAATAAAAGGTTTTAATATTTAAAAATAGTTTTGTGTTTTGTTATATTTATATATAAAAGCATATATATACAAGTTAAATAAAATTTGGTGGAGTCTCTTTCTTACCTACTACCGTGGCTATATTATTTCCAATTTCCAATTTCCAACTTGTGATTATAATTTATTTATTTATTTATTTATTTTTTAAGCATCCATATCGCTTGTTGGACTGACATTTTGAAAGATAAATTAAGAAATATAGATTTGTTAAATTGTAAATAGGGATGTATACAATTTGATTTTTTTGAAAATATAAAATGAATGAAGAAAAAGTATGCAGGATATATTGACCTTTAATTTGTTTGTTTGTGATAGTAGTAGTAGGTATTGACATTTTCAATCACATTATAATATATTGCAACTCAAGTCAATACCAAAAACCTTTAATTATTAATGACTATTTTATTTTTATTTTTTAATATAAATTCAAGACGTTTGGTGGTGTCTGTGTCTTCCAATTTATCTACATTTTCTTTTTTCAATAACTAACTACTAACTTGCTTCAAAAACATATATCTCTCATAATGAATGACAATAAGTAGCCAATATTTTGGACATGATGATATAACTTCTACATCTAAAACATCACTACCATATTTATTTCTTACTGCATGGCATGGCATGGCATCCTTAATTACTACAACTCATTAACTCCATCCACCACACCAATACAATTAATTATTTGAACATGAATCAATTAATTAATTACTCATTTTGTAACAACAGCAATGCCTTTACAACTTCTTTTCTCCAATCCCTTCCTTTTTAAATATCATTCCTGTTACCCGTTTCCTCGCACTTCCACTCACAATTACTTTCATTTTACCAACACAAACTAACCCTTTCATTTCAATACTTCCAAACCTTAAAACATATATATCATCCACTACCGTTGCATGTTTGCACTTTCTTTTCACTAGTAGAAACTCAGTTGGACCTCCTTTAAAAAGAATAAATCTTCATATCCTTTAAAAAGTAGAGGCACAGACCCTTGTTTTCAATTTCTGTTTTCCTCAAATAATTACTTTATAGGTCCCTCAACTTCTATAAGCACCATTTTTTGCATCTTCAATTAACTTACTACACAACACCTCCTTTTTTTTTCATATTTTTTACAACAGATGTCCTTGTACTAACAGCTTTTGTTTTGTTTTGTTTTAATTTAATCCCATCATATCTCTTTCCTTTAAAACTCTAACATGAAATTTTCAATATACAAACTCTTCCAAAAGATTCAATATATAAATCTTTAAGTAGTAAATGTTGTTGTTCTTTTCACTTTCATTTATTTTTCTTCTTCCATTTTTTTCCCTCTTTTATGATTAGAAAAGAAAATTTATTGTTTTAGTTATGCAAACCAAATGTATTTATATTTTGTGTAGCATAAATTACAAACCAAAATATATGAAGGTAAAAATAAATAAGTAAGCCCATCGTCTAATTATGTTCTCTTTGTTTTTTGAAATAGTTATTCCTTGTATAAACTGTCTTGCATTTATTCACTAACAAACATGACTTCCATTTATATCCAATGCTTTTTCACTCATTGTCAATTAAAATTCTTGTGTTAGAAATTTATTCAAATTATTAACATACAATAATTAATACACACTCGTAAAATAAGAAACATTAAGACTAAAGGTAAAAAAAAGGAAGAAAAAACCAATTTATTGATGACAACACGCCCAAAATTCAAAATAACACTTGCATCTTCATATAATCCATTGTCCTACAATATTACTAGTAGTACATAGCAGTAACAATAACATTAACATTAACATTAAAGCAAAAAAGTGGGGGAGGGGGTTGGGACAATTGATTTAGAAGGAATTGGATCTATTGAAGACCTTCTTCCATGCTGCTCTCCAATTGAGCGACAAAGATGGACGTCTCTTAATGATGGTAAGAGGCGAAGGACAAAGCAAGGGTGAGGATGGTGCGGTGTGTGATTGGATGTCATTGTCTTTCGGCATGTTCCAGAAACGAGCTCCTTTCCTCTTAGCTCTAATGGTGGATAACACCTCTTTCTTGTTGCAAATGCCCCATACTGTCACCTTTTGTTGATTGTGATCCACATTGACCGAATAAATACCTGATCATATATCATTTGTTAAAATGATTTAAAGAATAAATTCAAATTATACTATATATATGTGTGTGTGTGTGCGCGCGCGCACACGCATACCTTTAAAATGGGCCAAAGCTTTCTTGATTTTCTTGCCACAACCATAAGAATAGAGTGGCACCATGATCTCTACAAATTGTGCCTCCACATCCTTGGCCATGACTGGGACTAGTTGAAGATCCTCCATGTTATTATTAACTTGGTTGATGAAGTAGTCTGAATGTGTAGATATATATGATGGATGAGTAAGGTAGCATGCCAATTCCTGAGATCCAACATAGACTTTTTACTTTTCAGTTGTAAGTGAGTGGAAAGATGTGTCATGTATGATACTTTTGATGTGTATATTATAGTAGATAAGGCTTGCTTAATTAGATGCATGCAATTGCAATTGCAATTGCTCCCCATGTGATGTTACCAATCACTTAGCATTTCACTTGCCCTTTCCACATAAAATATATCTTTTAAGAAATGCACCTAGAGTAATTAATGGGTTCTTAAGTTTATAGGATCAACAACTATATATACAGTGACAGTGACAGTGACGTTACAACAACCTTGGTACAAAGGTAGCCAACCTAATAGTACTTCAAAAGTAAATCGCACTCTATATTAGTATTTTTATATGACACTTTTGAAAAATATTTTATTAGTATTTTATATAAAGCTTGTTATATATGATTTCTTTTAAATGGTCATATGAAAATGGCAATAGGATGATTTACTTGTAAAGTTGTCCTAATTAAATACTCGATTATATCCACTGACATGAAGATTGTTGAACTTGTTAAAAAATTGACTTTAAATTTGAATACATATTCATGTGGTCTTTGAATAACAAGTGAAGTGACATGTATATATATAGGGCATGCATAGATAGATATCGCTATTATGATCGGTTGTGATGCACTATTTGAGAATAAAAACATGAATATATATATATATATATATATATATATATGATTCCCTTGTTATCATTATATTTTTATTAGTGCATGCACAAACGATGTTAATCTTCTTAAAAAATTATATTGGATTAAATGCATGTTAATTAATAAGTCATTAAGCTCAAGTGCGTGTTAACTAAAACACAAAGCTAATTCTTTGGAATTGCATATTTAATCACAAATTAAGACATGTAAAGTATTTACGATCATCAAAGTTTGCAGAAAATGGTAAAATATCAAATTTAATACTATGCGGAAATGTATGGAATAACGAAAATAAGTCTTTAGTTCTTGATTCAAAACTAGGAAAAGAAGGTGATTCATCTCCGGTTGACCCATGAAATACAACGTACTATACTAGACTAATCAAGATTAATAAAGTCTAAGACAACATTTTACTACTTGAATTAAAAATGAAAAAAAAAAGGCAAGTGTGGGCAAAAATGAAGTGTGAACATATATATATATTGCATTACTAAAGTTTACAGAATGAATATGAATTTAATTAATTATTCTGTGTTTATACAATTACAAATGTAGGTGTATTAATTAGAATCAAGGGTCAAGCCGTGTTGTTGAATTAATAATTAATTAAGATATGCAACATGCATTAGGATTCTCATCTGAGAAGAGTTGTGGAGCTGGCATCATCAAGTAATTAACTGCAGGCATCATTCTTTCTTCATCACCATCCTTCTCATCTTCTTTCTCTACTACTTCTCCTTCTTCTTTAGCCTTGTGAGGCTGAGGGTGTGGCACAATTTTGGCTTGCTTTTTGGTGCGCCTATACACGTATTCCACCAGTTTCTTACCATCCATAGTTCCCATCACCCTCACTTTACCACACCTTACTTCTGTCTCCACTTTACTCACCCCTGTAATCAATTCATAACATCCATCAACACAATAATAATAATAATTATTATTAATTAACTTGTTCAACATCTATACCTTTCATCTTTAGGATCTTGCGCCTCAGTTGTTGGGCACAAGCTTCACAGTGCATGTTCACGTTCAATTCAACATCATGACTACTGCATCCATGATCAGAATCGACTACTTTTTCAGGATCAGGATCAGGATCAGGATCAGGAACAGGAACTGGGGACAAAACCTTGGCACTTGTCTTTATTTTCTCCATTATCTTGTTACAAACTGCTTCTGGCTCTACCACTCCTTTTACTGTCACTTGATTCTTCACCATGTCTACCTTCACTCCAGCAACTCCTATAAATACATACATGCATGCTCCATCACTTACTGATAATCAAAATGTGTGTTTGATTATATAACAGCTATTACATACCTCTAATTTGCAAAAGGGATTTCTCAATCTTTTTGGCACATCCAATACAATGCAAATCAACAGATAATACCATTGGAGAGGGTACTGCCTTTGGTTCTGATTCCTGCTGAAAACAAATTAACTCACATTAACTACAATTGGAATTCAAACATTAATCAGTAATCTCCTTTATTAGTACTATAACAAGATCATGCATGGTACTAACTGCTTTCTGCTGTTCACCCCACATTGTCCTTGATAGACAGTTTCAGTTACCGCACACTTACAGAGAAGGAGTAAAAGATAGAGCGAGCTAGCAAGAGAAAACAGGATACATATATATATATATATATATATATAATTTGAAAGAATGTTGAGAATCAAAATGATGGCAGGGCAGGGATATTATTATGGTATAAAGGCAAAGGCTGAGATGGCAGAGCACATGCAGAGCCACCACTACTCCTATGTATAAAAATTCAATATTTTGTGGTTATAAGCTTTGCTAGACAAATTTATGGAGAAAGTGAATGAAGGGTAGGTGTCTTATAATTGGCTTAAACTGCAACAGGATCTAACAAAATCTTGTTTATTGACAATTATAAAACTAGAAATTTTCTACCTCGTCATTGTTGAGTAAATTCCAACTTTACTTTCTTTTTCTTTTTTTGTTTCAACTTTTGATGTTATGAGTTATGAAATTTTGATTCTGCATACAATTTTATGAATGTACAGATAACTGGTGCAGCCAGCTAGTTGAGCATCTCTTTTCATGATCATCATCCTGGAACTGGAAGTTTTACTTTTTGAAACAATTATCTATTTGGTGAAGCTAGAAATTTATCTAGTCATCTTTTTCTTGTGTGGTAGGAATAGGATTGGTAAGAAGGTTTTATCTACTTAGATTTGATGACCAATTGGAATACTAATTCCCCTCCCAACATTCTCTTTTTAGATAATCTTATATACCATAATGACGGCGAATGACCTCTATGTTTAAAGTGGTTATGAATGTTGTTACCATCAAATACGTCTATTTTCATGGAAAATTGACTAATTGCAAACCACTTTTTTAAGTTAAAATTTTCAGAATAAATTAAAGGATCCAGACCAATCAATTAGAGAGAATGAAAATATGGTTATCTCTTAACCACCAGATCTTATATTTACTCTTTTATTAGCATCTTCTTTCTTTTTTTTTTGTCCTCTCCTTTTCTAACAATGGTTTTCTTTCTTTCTTCTTTCCCTTCCATTCTTTTCTCTCTTTTTGCTGATACTTTGATGCAATGATCAAGATATTTCTTGTAGAGGTGGTTATTGCCTTTTTGGCAAGTTAATGCTCACCACCCATTCCATTTAAACATTAAAAGAGTACTACGACTGATGAATCAATCAATACCCCCAAAAAGTTTGTCATATGTTGTAATAGTCAAGACTTGAGATAGATATCTTTTAATAAGAACAAAATTGTCCACAGTTGGTTGCTAAAAACAACTAATAGTGGTTATCAGTGGATAATGTTAACCAGTTATAATAAAAAGATTCAAGACTGCATTTAAAATTGTCATTTCCTATTTATCCAAAATGCTCACCAAAGCATGTCCAGGTCTTCTGTTGAAAGGTTTCAAACTTGAAATCTCCATCTTGATTTGCTCATCTTCATCCACCAGGCTGCTTTAACCTGTTCTTTTAATCATTTTCCCATAATAAATATTGTGACACCCCAAAATGAGGTAACCAAATAAATTAGAAAGCAAAAAGAACAAGGAAAATAAAATAAAATATGTTTTATTTTATTGAAAAAAATAATAATAATAAAGTATAAACATATTTGAAAATCAGATTAAAAATGAAGGAAAATGTCATATTAGGGGTGAAATGTGTAAAGATGTCAAAAGTAATAGAGTCAGGGGGCCGAATGCATTTTTATGAAACTTAAGGGGTTGGGTCAGATGTTAACAGGTCCAAACCAGAATGACCTGTTTTGTAAATATACATCAGATCTGCAAATTCAGAAACGCGAAAACGACCTCTCCTTTGAAGCTTTATATCAGTTCTAATTTTCAACTATTAAGACAAAAAAAGAACAGATACATGTAACCAACACTTTTATCTACACTTTTGCTTCAAGAAAACCTAAGTTTCATTGGGTTTCGAAAGAGAAATCGGAGGTTGAAGTTTGAATTCGAAAAGCTCCGTTTATTGACGATTGGAGGTAAAATACTCAACTAAATATCGAGTTCTTTATATGGTTGGCTTCGTTTTTAGATCCTCTATGAAATCTTAGTAGCCTTATGTCTCACATTTTAGTTTTAAATGTTCGATTTTGAGTTTTTTTACTGGTTTTCGAGTGGTTTTAAGATAATACTTTTAAACGAGCGTATGAGACTCAATACCTGATGGTTTTCGTTGATTTTTGTTCCTATGGTTAAGGAAAATCATTTTCTAGAGTTTTAAGAAAAAGAATCATCGAAAACGATGAAGAATCGAGGGCAAGGGGCCGTTTTCCGGTCACCGGTGCCGTTGGGGGATTGTAGGAGCCATCTGGGCTTGATGTAAGGGTGCTCAAAAACCCGATGAACCCGACCAACCCAACCCCAATTTTTGAAAAAAAAAACCAACCCGAGGTAACCCGATACATGATCGATAAAAACATTAGCCAACCCGACCTTATTGGTTGGAATCAGGTCAGGCCCAAAAAAACCCGACCAACCCGACAACCCGATGAACCCGACCTTAACTTTAGCTTTGAATTGTAGATGACAATCATGACATGACCAACCTCAACGTCAAGAAAGCGAAAGCATCGGGGTTGAAAACGTCTAAAACTATTGTTGTTGATTGATGTATTATCATTTGGTTTAAACATTTTTACTGTAATATCTAAATATTTGATGAACTTGCATATTATCTTGAATGGTCGGTCGTATTTCAAAGAAAAATTTCCTTTATTTTTATGTGATTTTATATTGTTTAAATATAACCCGATCAACCCGAATGGGTTAGGTTGGGTTGAACTTTTGTTTGGGTTGGGTTGAAAATTTTCAAACCGCCAACATTGGGTTGGGTTGGGTTGTTAAAACGGTTCCAAACCGATCAACCCGGGCCGTGAGCACCCCTAGCTTGATGTGGTCATCTGGGCCGTTTTTTCCTGGGCTTTACTTGTATTATGGGTTGTTTTATCTTTTGGACTTTAAGATTTAGTCCATGTAACATTTTGAGTGTATTTGGGTAATTAATTTAACCATGTCAAATCTAACCAATTAGTATATTATTTCATTTTATTATATTGTATAAGTTATATTGTTTAATTAATTTAATTTTAAAAAAAAAGTATGTTATTTAATTAACATATTAATTTATTTTAGAGAATTAATAGTGATTAATTAATCTTTTCCTAAGTGGTTTATTAAATTGATTAGTAATTTAATAAATGTTCTCTTAGTTGTCGGAATTTGATTTTATCAATTGTCTAAGACATCTTAATATGAAACATATGTTTCATTTAGTTGTTAAAAGGATAAATCGACGTTAAGAGTTGTTATCAGACATAGTACTGAGAGATTTCTTAAATTATTTTTGATAATTTAATATTGAGATTAAAGTGTCGTATTTCCGAGTTAATCAATTATAGAGACACCTTAAATTAGAGAGTTTGATTTATAAGATCATAAAATGTTTATTATGATGTTTTAAGCCGTTGTCGAGTTTTAGTCATGTGGTTTGAATAAAATTAGTCGGGGTTGACTGAGTTGACCAATGGTCGACTTTTGACACGTTTTGACCCATGTGGATATTAATGATGGGTCAAATAGAGTTGTTTGAGACATATTAAGATGCTCAGATACGAAGTTTTACTTTAGGTTGGGTCAGAATGACAATAGTTGACTTTTGTTGAT